ATGAATATTGGGTATACATATGTACACCCAATACCCAATACCCAATATATAATACCCAATATGTATACACAATACCCATATGTATATCCAATACTCATATGAATATTGGGTATACTCATATGTATACCCAATACTCATATGGGTATTGGGTATAAAGTATTGGGTATACCAATACTCATATGGGTATTGGTATATTGGGTGTCAATACTCATATAGGTATTGGGTATACCAATACTCATACGAGTATTGGTATATCCAATAAAATATTAGGTATAAAGTTTACCCAATATCCAATAAAGTATACCCGATACATATGAGTATTGGGTATACATATGAGTATTGCGTATCCATATTAGAAAGGTGGTTCATTACATATGTTAGTTTCTTTAGTAGTGCACAACTCTGTAATTCTATAAATTGGAGCTCTTGTTCACATCCTTATTAAGTTCAATAATATATTTTCATCGGGGCTTAAGGCCCAATACAAAAATATAGTTTCTCACACCTATCATATATCCAGATTTTTTCAATTCACCATACCGTAGTTATAATATGGTGTATCCATATGGTGTATATATCATGGTGTATCCATATAGTGTATTTATCATGGTGTATTTTTTGGTACGTACTAAATAGGTGTATTTTAAAATTTCTAATATTTTTAAACTTAACCGATTTTTTGACTCCGATTTGTTGAGCCTAGTCCGATATATTTGCGATATCTTTACATGAAGTATTTTTTCCGATCCGTATTTTTTACCTGATTTTTTTTTCCAACTTTTTAAAATAAAAGCGATTTATTTCTGATTTTATAGTGAGCCGAATTATTAATAGTCCGGACTTGCTAACTATGGTTACTAGTCAAATATTTGAAGCTGTTGTGAGTGTTGAGGTGTTGTTCGCCACTCTATTCGTAAAGAGTCCTCCTCCAAGGTGGTGGAGAGACTAAGAATGACGTTTCTGGCATGGTAAGAAACCATGCTAATATTATAACGGGAAAGTTTACAAAGCAATCCCTCCCTCTTTATACACTTGATATAACTTTCTCTTTGTATATCTTGTGTACGTCCAAATACGAGGCAAAGAAATCCAAAGTTCCATTTTTTTTTAAATCCAAAGTTCCATTCTTGTCTAGGCTAAGATCAGAATGTGAAATAAAGGTCTAGAGGACTTAAAAATTTAAGGAAAATTATGTACGGGCACCTTTTTCAACTGTTTTATTATGGTACGAGTTTGAGATTTTTGCAAAATTACCCACCTATCTTTAATTAGTAAAATGAAATTTGTGTAATGTAACTAATTTTATTTATTTCTTATTTCTTATTTATTTATTGTTATTTTATTTGAATTTATCTTATTTTCACTTGATTTTCTTTTATCTTTTATTTAATCTTATACCTTATTTATTTCCGACTTTCGATTTCTAAATTTCTATTCTATTTTTTTAATCTATTTTAGATTTCAATTGCAACATTCTATCATCTATATTATAAGTAATTATCAATTATTTAAATCTGATTATTTAATTAGTAGAATGAAATTTGTGCAATGTAACTAATTTTATTTATTTCTTATTTATTCATTGTTATTTTATTTGAATTTATTTTATTTTCACTTGATTTTCTTTATCTTTTATTTAATCTTATACCTTTTTTATTTTTTATTTTTGATTTTTAAATTTCTACTCTATTTTTTTCTAATCTATTTTTAGATTTTCAAATTGTAACTCTCTCTCTCTC